GTCCTCGTTCGGATCGGGCCGCTCGGCGCCTGCAGCAGCTCAGTCCTCGTCGGTCACAGTGCGCGAGGTCATCGAGGCGGACTCTGATGCCTGGGATCCCCACAACTTGCTCGGCCCGGCGGGAGAGCCGACCTCGTTCAGGCCGTACAGGACGCCGTAAGCGCGACCTGTGTTCACAGGAGCGAATTTTGGTTACTCTCTCGGGCTTATGCTCAGGATCGAGCGATTTAATCTCTTTTGCTCCGATGTGCAAACCCGCTTTTGGTCACCGACTCTCAATGCGACCCGCTCGGGAAGAGCCAAAAAAGAGGGAACTGTGCGGTTTCGGGAAGAGACTGAGTAGTTCGCACTCTTGCTCCGGCCTTAAAGTTCTGCAGTGACGTTCTTACATGTCTTCATGTTCTGAGGCACTATTTGCACATATTCATGTTCACGACTTGCTGTGTGACATATTCATGCTGCCTTGCACTTTCTTTCTTGCGTTTGCGTTCGCACGTTCGCCCTCGCTTCGTTCGTCGGGGGGGGGGCAGGACAATGCTTACATGTTGGCTGTGCGAGATCGATTTTGCATGATATCTTCTGAGCTCGTCCTCTCTCTGTTATTTCGTCGATCTCTATCTCGCTCTCTTCTCTCTATCTTTCTCTTCTTGTTTCTCTCTGTAGCTCTATTTCCATATTTCTCTCTATCTCTTTCTCTCTCTCTCTCTCTCTCTCTCTTTGTCTCGTATCTTTAATTACGTTGTTCTTGTTATGTTGCCTCGAGTGGGCTCGTCTAGAATGGTCGCCGCTGATTAAAGAGGTCTCGGAAATGATCGGGTGGTAATTTATCTAGATCCCAGGGAATAGCATCCGTTTGTATCGCCATGGTCATTCACTGTATTTGTCTTGCACAACCCTGAAATTACTGCTATCTTATCGTTGCAGTCTTTATTTTGATATATATACTGAGCTTTTCGGATCCATTTTATATAGATCGCTTTCAGGACTCTCCACCGATAGGTTGGTGATTGCAGATCTACTAGATTGGTATTCACTATTCAGGGAAAGGCCCAATCTGAATTAGCAACAAGATTATATGGAATTCATATATCATCCGCCCCTCCCCAGGCAGGCCTACATGACTCTTCAGCAGTGCATTATACGATGGCATGAGCAGAAATTACCATATGGCCTCATAAGCGCATCTTCGTGTTTGTTCGTGTGTCTAGCTCGCTATGCGAGTATGCGAGGCAAAAATCCGATCAAGGTGCCAGTAAAGGCCATGGAAATAATTAATTTTCCAGTCTTCGATTCCGGTCATACCGTTACATGGATCTTCTACACCTTGCTGGCAGGGATTCTACACTTGGGGCCCAGACCCCAACTAGGGCACTATCGCTCCTTCATGGCGTATCCCGCCTCTGCGTCAACTGCACTGCCTCAGGCCTCGGTGCCCTCGGCTACGGCCCGGGATCTGATGTCTACAAGTGCTCGGGGGATTTCGGCCCTCTCGGGGACGTCGCCGGCCCCCTCGGGGAGCCGGACCTCCACCTGGTGGTGTACGGATGATGGTAAACCGGCAGAAGTATGTAATCCTGGATACTCCTAGATCCTGAGCGAAAATTATTATATTTTGTGCTTTCAACTTACACCAACCGTATAAATGTGCCGAATGATACCGGTATTACTCCTTAGTCGACCCTGCTGCTGCTGCAAGCAAAGCTGTCGCAGTAGTTGCAGTGTAGTTGTAGTTGTAGTTCTAGGTGCGAGCGATGTGGGAACCATCTCACAGCCCTCGGTTGGCCGTGCTGTAACATATCATGTTGCGCTGAGCCGCGCAGGGGACAAGACATTGTTCTGCGAATGCAAAGTCAAAGTCACAGTCTGTCGCTGTGTGTCTCTATTATGAGCGCAGCTTGGGGTTCTGCTTGTCGAGCTGCGCTATGGACAGCTCAATGTTCTACTCTGACGTCAAAGTCACAAGTCTATGAGTGCAGGTTTCTGCCTACAGATCAGCGTTTGGAATGCCATGGATGCTCTCAGCCTCGCTGCGAGGAGCAGCACCAGCTCTACGATGTCATGTTGCGGACGCGTGCCTTGGTGGGACGCGGAGGAGCGTAAGTACGAGCTGGTCCTTGCACCTGAGCTACGACAACAGCTGCGTGCTGTTCTTTGGATCTCTATCTCAGGTGATCTTGATGCAGACTGGGGGCTGCAGGTGGCCAAGGTCCTGGAGGCAGCTGGACTTGTGCAGAAATCTGTGCAACGAGCCGCGGCACTAGCGTCTCCAGGTCATCGGCCAGCAAAGTGACCTTTGCCGACTCGTGCGATCACAGCAGCTTGGATCGTATGAAGCTTTGTTTTACAAAGAGGAGAATTTTTCAGGGAAGGAGGTGCTCTGCCCGGAGGTCGCGCCTGCGCTCTGGTCTGAGCTCCTCACAGCGTGGAAGCCCGGTAAGGGGTTGTTACTTTGTCAGCGACCTTTTGAAGTTTTCGGTAAAATTTGAAAGGTCACAGCCACAGCTGCGAACAAGAAGTCGGGCTCCGCGGCAAGCATTGGCATGTCATGTCGTTTGAGGGGTGGTGTAGAGTGTCGTATAGAGAGTAGGGGCTGTTTAGTGTAGTGTGGAGTGTAGAAGACTTAGATTGACCAGATTGCCAAATAGCCTCGGCACACGTTCTGGGTTTGAAGCCTGACCCATTCTAGCCAAGTCCTCTAGTCACAGAACTTGTGTTCAGAGAACTCGGGCCGCGTAAGCTGACCGGCTTTGCTGCAGCCAAGAGCCTCGCTTAGTTCTGCCAATTTTGAGCATCTGCGGAAGCTCAGGCTTTAAACAGTCAATTTGTTCCATCTCGCCTTCCCACGTGGCTTAGCTATATTGGATATTTTACTTGCTGAGGCCTGCTGCAAGTCAGTTAGTTCTTCATAACGAAAGGATGATGAACATTTTACCTGAGGACTCGCCAGTCTGTGTGGGATCGGGAAAACATCCCGAAGGATCCGCCAAAGAAGCCCATCCCCTGGTGGACGCCCAGGCCAGCCAAAGTAAAAGTTCCATCATCTTCTGGCGTTGTCAAGATTTTGGGAGGCAAGTGCCATGGCTTGCTGGGCAGCCGATTTTCCCTGGCGAGCAGTTCAAGGCTTGGGCCGTTCTCTGCTGCCAGCTTTCTACTTTCTTCCAGCCTCAACTGGCGTGATCGCCTTCTGCTTCTGTTCTCTGCACGCCATCTCACTCTTCCGTCCTCTTCGGCTGTTGCTTGGCAGCTGGGCTTTGCGGCAGGCGCCATGTCCGGCTTTTCGATCAGTTGGACGTCACCCGGTCTCAGAGGAAAGAGCATTGTGGGGGCTCGATTGCGCAGTGACACGCGAGGGCGATAGAGCATGTCACATGTCTATTGCTTCACCCACTTCAAACAGCATGGGTGAGGGCCGCTGAAGCATCTCCTGCCCTGTGCTTGCATTCTGCTAGCTGCTATCTGCAGCCAAGAGAGAGGTTACACCAGCACAGGACACTGGCTCTCTGGAGCATCCATTCAGTTCCTTGAGGCATCTACTTCGAGAAATACCAGCGCTGCCATCCCTCTACGTTCTGAGATTCAACTCAATACAGCGAATCATTCGACAGACCGCTGCTTAGCCAGGTTGTCTAAGGCATCCTACTGCAGCCCAAATTGCCGAAGTTTCTGTGATTCCGAGCCGAACATCGCTTTGCGCCCGGCTCCGCCTTGTGTTCAGTGCTAGAGTCACTCACGTGATGCAGTGCAACCCTCGGTAGAGTCACGTATGAGGCGGAATCGAAGTGCGATGCAAGAGACTTGCAGGCCTCGGGAGCCTCGGATCACTCGGATGCACAGCGCAGAAAGGTGACCGTCAGTCAAATGTACAGGGACCCTCATGGGACCTGCCCTCGGGCTGACCAAACGTCGAGCGAAAAGTCATACCAGCCTTTGTGGGTTTGCCTGTTTTCGTCCCCTGAAGTCTTCGGAGATGACTGCTCAGGTTGGCTTCAGCACGCAACGCTGGTAAACGAGGTGAAGGAGCTGCAGTCAAGGCGTCCCACTTCTGGGCTTGCTTAGCCTTGGCATCTCTCGCTACGTCCGTCAGATTCTGTGAGGCTGGCTCCGCTAATTACATACGCCTCTCCGGCGCTTTTGAAGTGTTCGTGTGCCTCTTGCAACGGTGGCTTTTCACAGATTTGTCTGCCGAATGTTGATGCACCTCCGCAGCTTTGGGCTGGGAGATGCGAGCTGCTGCAAGCTAACCACCGATCATGTCTGACACAATAGTTGCCTTGTAACCATTGACTTATCAAGGCGAATGCCATGCTGCTGCAATGGCTCTGGGTAAGGAAGGCTGATGCCCCCCAGCCAGATGCATCGTCGTCCTTCGCACAAAGTTTGGCGAGGCATTTTGAAACCAAGGCTCAGAATGTTTGAAGCGAGAGTGCTCAGTGCTGCCAGGCAGGCTGCTGCAGAGCGTGCGAGGAGACTTGCTGAGGCATCGGGGCTTGAGCCCACCAACAGGTCTTCCTTGGTAGCGGCGGCTGCAGAGCTAGGCTTCGATTTCGCATGTCATCATCCGGCTGGGCTACAGAACTTGAAGGGACTCCACTGTTTGAATTGGGCGTGCCAGCACTCCGTCGTAATCTGCATGGCACCACATGCGGCACATGCTTGAGACACACGAGCTTGATGCACACGGCAAGTGTTGCTGGGTGCAGCCAGATTTTAACCCGAATTGGGAGGATGCCGAGCGAAGCAGTCAATGGGTGCAGGAGCAGCTTGGACAATTTAAGAAGGAGCCTGGCTGATGTTGAGCAGCTTTACGATTTTGGATGCTGTGAGAAGTGGAAGATTTAACATTTAAACATCAACTGTTGAAGTTCAACCTGAACTTCAGAACTGCTGAGGTGTGCGAGACGCAGAGCCAAAACGGGCTCATGTCCGTCATCCATCGCACCGGCCACCTTCCAAAAATGTATTTTGAAAGCCGGAAAGACATTCTCTTCAACGAGCTGCAGGCAGCCCTCGCTGGTTTGGGTTTCTCGGACCTGAAGCTGGCCTGGAAGCATGACGTGAAGCGGGAGGCCATTCAAGCTGGCTCGACAAAGACATCTTCGAGCATACTGATTGAAGCCTCTTGGGAGGGTCTCGATGAGAACACGGAGGGTGCCACTCTTCCTAAAGGCGGTGCTGGCGGTGCAGCAAGCACTTGTGCTATTTGCGAAGATGTGGGTCGCATCGTTGTCTTGGCACCGTGTGGTCACGTGATGTGCAGCAAGTGCCAGCAGAAACACGGTGGCCGTGTGTGTCCTTTTTGCCGCCAGGCGGTAAGATGTGTGACCAACGGCCTTTTCATGAGCTGATGCCTGTGTCTTTGAGTTGGATGAATTCGAACCTAGCAAGAAAGCACAAAGGCTTGCTACTTTGATTCATGGCGCACGCAGTTTCGCCAAAGCAATGTGTCGATTTCCCAATCATGCTCTTCCGCCGTTGCTGAATTGGCTGCTGAGCGGCTACGCCGGTTAAGGGCAGCAGAACCAGGACAGAGGTTGCGACCATCAAGCGTACTGCGTGGCACAAGAAACTGCCAGAGCTCAGACTTCAACAGCTGTGGCCGCATGGACTGCTTTGGAGCTTTGCGGCAGTCAGCGGCAATGCAAGAATTCACTCTCTGTAGCTGGATGCCAGTCCACACCGTGCCGTAAAGATCGTAAAGTAAGGATCTGTAAGGATCTTCTTCCGGTTCGTCTAACTAACAATTCGTTTAACACTTCGCTAGCCACTCGCCGCTCATCCTTCGCCAAAGACCGGCACCCTTACAGGACCCTTTTCATTCCCTTTTCTAGTCTCTGATATGGTGCCCTTACATAGCGCCTTTGCATGTCTGGTTGGACCTTGACTGGTGCCCTAAGTGCCAGGTTTTCGTGCAGCACATTGCATACCTCTTTCTCGACGTGGCCAGGCTGGGCTCCAGAAAGTATATACATAGTAATAGTGAGAGGAAGAGAAAGAGCGGTAATCTTAGTAGCAGTAACAGTAAGATTCTGGCAGAGGACATGACAGTGCACAGTTACGTGAGCTGCAAAATATGTGATGCAGGCAGTCGTGTGATGCGACCGTTCCCTTCAACATGGTGTCGGGGGCCACAGTTCGAGACATTGCGGAAGATCAAGATGTGATTAGCTTCTAAACTCCGGGCTCCGAGGCATTATCTTTTTCGCCATGTGATGTTTCTGGGCGTGCCAGCCTAAGTCAGGCGAGAACTTTTGCAAACGACACAGCATCAAAAGCAGGAGCAACGTGAAGAAAGTTGCTCCAGCATGCACGAGATGAACAACGCTTTGATCACCGAAGCACCTTTGCCTGTCCTGAGGCCTTGGCTGTCACGGTGTGGCGCATTGGACACTTAGCTTTTCAGTACTGTCCATGGTAACCTACATCGGGCAATGGCATGACATACTTTTGCAGCAGGTGGCTGCAACATGCACTGATGCGGTTGCAATCCTGCTAGTGTGCGATGCTTCTGCATTCAGGAAAGCTCAATTTCTCGATTTACGAGAAGCTGCACAATGCCGTCCTAAGCCTACTGGGTCTATGTACTTTCGTTATCAGGCCTTCTACGAGGGAAGGGAGATTGCTTCTCAGGGTTTTTGTCTCGGGAAAGCGGATGTCACACTTCATCCCCAGCTGCGGGGACACGTTTATAGGATCCACGGGTATGGCATGTTCCATATCCGAAGGTCATGGACCTGCTGCCCATGAACTGGGCAGATCTGGGTCACTGCCCTGCACCCAGCATTTTGCAGGTGTTTTGCGGGCAAGGATCTTCTGGCATCAACTCACGCAGGTAGACTTCTGCCTAGGAGGACTGTATGGGCGACAGCGAGGCATACAAAAGTGGCTCCGACGAGCTGTTGTCACGTCAATGTGCTCTCCTGTCTCACTGTTGAGCCGCTATTCCTTATGTCGCTCCAATCTTGAAGATGGCCGCCAAGGCCCAAACGTTGGACAGACGGAAGTTGTGTCGCGTGCTTATAGACTAAGCCGCCGGCATGTCCGAAGCGGCACACAGAAGAGGACTAAATGGACGCAGCAGAGATACCTTCATGTGCCCAAGTTTTCTGCCAGCTGCAGGTTGTTGCTTCGCAGAATTGTCAGATGATTCTAGGATGTGCCGAGCGCGTGCTCGAGGCACTCAGGCCAAAGCATGCTCGTAGGCTAAGCAGACATGCTTGTTTCCTGAGTAGCAGCTGGCTAAAGCTCAAAAGCCCAGGCTGCAGCGACAGCACATGGAAGATTGGTTTCGATATCTCCAGTCTGGAACCTACTCTGTGCTATGAGATCCTGTGCTGGTGCTGGCTTTGGTCTCTCCAACTGTGCCTCTTCGTGTCTGCTGCTTCAGGCACAATATCGATACAGGTAGGCGCAACTTGGAAGCAAGATGCACCAACTAGAACCTCATGGGTCCGCCGTAGATGTACATCTACTCTTTGGCCCGGCAAAATACTGTCTTCCTCTCCATGGAGTCGTGCTAAGGCGACGCATGCATATGCGTGCCGCGAGCTCAAACGGTCGCAGCATGTTCCGTTCAGTGCTCGTGTGCGCATCGAGGTGCCTTAACTCTTAACATCAGAGGAAGAGAAATGCACGAGAGATAGCACCCCTGTTGACGTTCTTCTCCACTGGAGGTCGAGTTTAAGCCCAGTATAAGCTGCATCGTACAGATTGTCAAAGATATATTTGCAGCTTCGTCCGTCTATGCGCTAAGGTTCCACCTTCGGTTTGCTGCCAAATCGTACTGCCGTGCGTGTCTTCCTTCTGCACATCCAGCAGTTCACAGTCATCTTACAGCTCAATGCGGAGGCGCTTGCAGATCTGGCAAGTGCTCAGCCTTGCCAGGCACGTCGTCGCACTCTCCGTCTTGACTTTGCTCACACTTCCGGTTGTGAACAAAGTGTCAGGCACTTGACTATTTGCGATGGAGTGCTCGTGCCCCCATTCGAAGTCACGAGTCGCCAAGGCTGGAATACTACGGCAAGCAGGTGGTCAACGATCGCCTTCTCGGAGGCCAGGGCCGTTTTTTCATACCAGAGGCTGTGAGGCTGTGAATTCTGGGCTTCTGGGTGCTTGCGGGATCGCAGCATGAGGGTTTCTGAGGCATTTGCTCGCACTTAAAGGATTCCGCAGCACACCGAAACCCGCCTGCCATGCTAGCCATGACGCTGAACGAAGGCCTTGAAATGTCTAGCACGCACGTAGGTGATATCTTGCCTGCTGAGGCAACGATGTCTCAGAGAGATCCTCGTTCCTGCACCAAATGGAGCAGACGTGTATGCCACACAAAGAAGAGTGAGAAAAAAAGATCTTCAGCAGTCCAATTGCATCTGATGTGCACGGGTGTCTGTCTGGATCAGATGTGTGATTGCCATTGAAGAAGTGATGATCAGCAGCTCGTGCGAGATGCACACCTAGGAGATGCATCAGATATTCAGAGCCGGACATGGACTAACTGTATGTAACGTGCACCTCCGCAGGCAAAGCAAGTTCTCGTCGTTTCAGTTTTCTGGCTGCGGCTCTCTGTCTGTCATGTTGCATGGCACTGCCAGCAGCAGCTGCGCAGCGATGCCGTGCGGCAGTGGCTGCTCATGCGTGGCCCTGAAGCCCTATAGGAGTCGCTCAGAACATGTGAAAGTTTTTTCTCGGTCTTCGTCCTTAAAGCGCGGAGGTGCGGGATGGACATTGGGCCGGGAACCGAGAGCGCTTCAGCGGAGTGAGGGTTTTGGCATTCTCAGTTCGGAGGCTGGAGCCCTCTGGGCCCTCCGCCGGTCCCTTCACGAAAACGTGCGCCTGGATGCTGCGATGATGGAGATGGCTTCCACCTCAGAGCGATCCAACCTTTCACTTTCTGGGCGTCTGACAGCCAAGTCAGTCCAAGATAGTCCAAGATAGTTCAAGAAGCTTTGGCGATCCCCATCATAAAAGGTGATGCTGAGCTGTTCGCGCTCTTCTCAATGGGGTGAACTGGCTATGGTTTGCTTTGCTGACGTGGTATCGGGTTGTTCATGTACAGACGATTGCCTCTGAACTTGCAGCTCGAACCATATCCCTCCTCGACGAGATTCAGCACCATTTCGTCGAGCCGTTTGTTTGCACCTTAACTCGGATTCTTGGTGCGTTCTTTGCTCTAGTCGGCGAGATGCTCCCCAGCACAGTAGGCGAGCCTACATCCGAGGAAGACGTCTCGTGCCTTTGTTGCAGCAATTTCGGTCACTGCCTGAGTTCTCTCTGGAGGAGTCGGCAAGTAAAGGATCACGCACAGCTCAGGCGGCAGAGCGCTGTGGTCTCTGGGAACCGGCCCTGGTACTACTCGAGGCTTAGTCCCACAGGAAATGCATATAAGCGCATAGTGACGCAGTGCAGGGTTTGTTCAGAGCCTCTCTCGGCGTCTTGCGTGTCCTACGTATCTTACTTGAGACGTGTGAGGTTTCTGGGGACGGTGAATAGTGAATGTACTTGAAGATGCCGACACACCGATATGTGAAAGAGACGTTCAGGCAAGGCCACAAGAGAGTTCGTGTATGCTACGCCTCGCGGAGGAATAAGCTGATTTAAACAGGACAGAGACCAACAGACATACACAGACAGCTGACAAGACTGAGATGCTCAGTCCTTGTAGCTACGATCTAGCTTGCGCATCAGCTTGAAGCTTGTTTCGGCTGCATGTTCGGCAGTTGCATCGTCGTTCACAGCTGAGTCGAGATTGCTGCATCCATTCCACCTGATGGTCGATAAACCGACCCGACATCCCAGACATAGTTAGCTCAGCTCAACCACGCGAAGGATGCCGAGAGACTGGGTCGCGCAGGCGCTTGGGCGAGTCGCTAGCGACAGCTGGGTTTCCATGTCACGACCTGTCCGAACTGCTACCATCTGTTTCGCATGAGTCCGAGCCTGTATGATCGAGGGGTACCATGCTACAGCGCTGCCGCAGCGGCTTGTTGCCGCCAGTCGATGTGGCAGAGGCTGATGCTTGTGTTGTTCCTTTCATCACTTCCTGGCTTTCTGTGGATCAAAGTCGTTGTTGGAGATTCGCTTCGCTGACTCAGCTGTCTAGCACCATACATCCCACCTCGCTAGCCGCGGCAAAACTGGATGTACAGCTTGCCTGGTGGTTTCGAAGGCAGGTCGGGTTCCTCGCACGAGCACTTGTAATCGTTCCGGTTGGCTTGCATAAGACATAGAGTCAAGTAGCCATCCACCCAGGTTCCCCTCATCCGGTCATGGTGCCTAGTGCCAACAGCCGTGTATCTTCGTGAATGATGTGAGTTGCCGAGTTGCAGGGCAACCGGATTGCTTCTTGGCTCGACCCTCAGGGGCACGACTCTGCTGAATGCATGCCCAAGAGGGACCTGCCTGGCAGGTGCCATCTCCAGGGGTCTTGATGTTGATGTGCCGACTTCTCAGAAATGTTCGTTGAATCGGATGCCACGAGCCGCTCTATGCTTGGCGAGGGGATTTGCTGCTGTTAAGGCCCGTCTACAACGCCAGAATCCTAGAACCCTCCTCGCCGCGCGTCCGGTGAGAGGTTAAGCAGTGGGACATGAGGCCACGTGAAGGTTTCTATGTTGTTCTTGCTTGCCTAAGCTAAAAGCATTTTCATGCTTCACAGCCGAGGCTGTGATGAAAGCGGCTGCCAGCGCTGCCGTGCCTGTAACTCAGAGTGGTTTTGGAACTTTGCTGACTCTGATGGAACTTCTGCTCCGAATCCAAGGTGGGAGCATGCCATCCATTGGTTCCGAGAGTTGCTGCACCTTGGTGCAAGCTTCGACTCGGAGTTCGGCATCCCAAGCCTCGTAGCATGCGTGACAATTCAGGCTCCAGATTTGAGTGGCAGATCACTACAATGTGGGCGTGTAAGGTGTCCGAAAGGCCCGGAAGCAAAAGGAAACTGCAGGCAAGCAGGTGGTAACTTGCAGTGTGTCTCCAGAAGTAGCTGCGCTGAGCACTGCGCTTTCAATGCGTCGCCCATCGCCTCTCTATGATTGCACACACTAGGAAACACGAGCCGCCGACACTGCTGTGTTTACGGGCAGATCGGCCGAAGGGTTTTGCAGCTGGTCTTTACTGCCAGGATCAACAGGAACATCCAAGAATATGCATAAACAAGGCACTTGTTGCTCGTCCTAGTTTGATCCAAGCCATTACTACAGAACACGATGTTCAACATGCTTACACTGTTTAGAAGGATCGACAGCGTGAACGCTCAGGCCGCTCAGACACCGTAGAATTCGCTTTGCTGCATCACTGTCAAACACTTGG